TCCTTGACGATAGAAAATTTAGAGTTACGCTCGATCGCAGGTCAGAATACAAGAGAACGGAGTTCCACAAGGCTCCGTAATAGCCCCCACTCTTTTCCTTATTTGCATGAAATCGCTATTTAAAACAATCCCTCCCAATGTATATATCATTGTTTATGCTGATGACATCACCTTAATCTTCTTCCATAATTTCAAATCTCTAGCCCGTAAAAGAATTCAATCCGCTATAAACATAGTTGCTCACTGGGCAGATGAAAGAGGTTTTGTTATCTCTCCAGAAAAATCCCAACATCTTCATTTTGGTGCCAACAGAAAGGGGATAAGTAAACTTCCTGACCTGAAAATTAAACAAACCATTATCCCTTTTAAACCGAATCTTAAAATTCTTGGTGTCGACCTTGACCGTCGCCTAAACTTTAAAGACGCCGTTCGAAAGGCAACCGTAAATAAAATACGAGTAATTAAATCCATTTGTGCGAGAATACCTACAATTCTCAGGATAATTAATGCATGGCTATTACCCAAAATTTTCTATGGAGTCGGTCTCTTTAGTAGAGGTGGTGATGCTGTGATGAAAAAGTTACGTCCGCTGTATAACCAAGCCTTCCGATTTGCTTCAGGCGCTTTTGCAACAAGTCCCACATTTGCGATCATGGCAGAATGTGGCCAGCTTCCATTCGAATACTATCTGTTAGTTTGCCTTATTACGAAAGCTATTCGTTGGTTGAGTCTCACTGACCGCAATGAAGTTCCTTTGGTTTTTAGAACGATTGGTCTTTTTGAGTCAACTACAAATTCCAATATACCATCAATAGCAATTTTACCTGGAACAAAAACGCGCCCCTGGAATCAAACATCTCCCTCAATAGATCTTTCTCTACTTAATATAGTCAAAGCCGGTGATCCTCCTTCTAAAATTCAGCAATATTTGTATAAACTTCTCTCAGAATAATACAATAATCATCATCACATCTACACTGATGGATCGGTGTCAGACGGAAGGGTTGGATATGGCATAACTGCTGTCTCGATAAATTCCAGCGTCAGTTATTCTCTTCCCTCGGTTTGTTCAATCTTCAGTGCTGAAGCCTTTGGCTCTAATGAAAGTCTCCAATATGAGTTCACACCCCAACAAGCTCGACATCTCGACATCTCGACATCTTAAGTGATTCCGCTAGCTGCCTCCGTGAAATGAACTCCGATTCAACACGTCATCCTCTGGAATTCGTGGCAATGAGGCCACTCTGGAATTCGTGGCAATGAGGCCGCTGACAGGTTGACTGGAATTGGTCCAGAACTTGATGCTTTAGAGATGTCCGTACCTTCATCTGACTTCTGCAGATGGGCCAAGCATAAGATCAGAGAGAAATGGAATTTTTTTTCCGTCGATCTTGTTTTTCGTGCTGAGTACCATTGCTACCGACGCCAGGGAGGCAGCTCCCACACCTGGACCCTATCTATCGACCCATTAACTCTTGAACCGGGGACCAACGGCTTTACTTCCCTTCCGATGGAAGGCGTGCTCAGAGATGTTATGCCTCAGAACATCTCGGCGGCGCCGACTGGAATTGAACCCAGGCCTGCTGGGGTGAGAAGTTATCACGCTTACCACTACACTACCGGTACCGCTGTGAAATGGGATTTGGAGTGGTTAAAAAATAGGTCTTGCACTTTAAGAAGAATAAAAAATTCCACTCTCTGTTGGCCTGAACATAGAAATCCCAAAGTTCGCCGCATTCTGTCGAGGCTACGAATTGGACACACTCGACTTACCCATAGTTACAGAATAACGAAAAAACAACCGCCAAACTGTATCACATGTGGTGCTACTCAGTCCGTCTCTCATATTTTTATTGATTGCAGAGCATATTGCACAGAACGTTTGGCTAATAATATGAATAATTATTCATTGGAGGAGGTTTTGCCATTACCTTGTGAGGAAAAACTATTAAAATATCTGAGCGACACTGGTCTCTACGAAGAAATATAAATGTAACAATAATTATGTATAAATGAAATGTAAAAATTTAATTTACTGAAGGGATGAATGACCTTAAAGGTTAAAATCCCTCAAAAATAAATAAACAACAACAACATTCAATTCAGTTACCTTTTGACCAGCCACGAGCGCCACCAATCATTGCCAATACAGTCTACTGCCGAAGGGGAAAGTGCATTCCCAGACTGAACACAAAGATTACTTTAAATGTATCGCTCCCTCGAACCATAGCTATACTGCCGGTAGCCGCAACTTAATCCTATCTGCATTTTTATCAATTTTAAGTTAGCATCTTATCTTTTTTTAGCTGTGCTATTCGAAAAGTGTGGTTTGTTCAGGAAAAGTGAAAAACAATACCACGGCAAACTGTCCCACAGTGCAATCAAATAAACTAAATAATTAGACGACAATCGGATCATAAGAATTGAGATTTCCGTCCACTTCCCATATGGTATCCGGAACATGTCCGGGTTTACCCAATGTGGTTCTTACGGCGACACTCAATATGACCGCCAATGGTTAAGGTTTTGAATTCTCATGTGACTTGATGTGTCGCATGATGGATTTTGATTTACAAAGGGTTTACCACTTTCCCGGGGGTACCCAAATTGAACATGTCCGGGTGTGACCAACATGGTGCTGGTTACTCATCACGACTTCTAGTGATCCTATTTTCGACCTCTGAATGCCTCATAGTGGGTTTTGCACGTTTTTGAAAATTTCTTGTCTCAAAACCCGTACTCGCCGGAATATGTTACGGCCATAGTTCAGAAACCGGTTCGAGTCCCACTCCAATTTTGGGCATAAATGAAAATTTCTCGATTTTTCATCCAAAATTTTTAACTTAACATAGATGCATCATATCACATTGCAAGTTTATTTTCAAAATTATCTCTCCAAAATAAGGCCGGAACAAATCAAAAGTCTTTCTTTTGTCAGTCGATGCTCCCACCAGTCAAGGGGGATTCCCAGCTTTTTTCCTGGATCACTAGCCACTCTGCATTTCACATACAAAACACTTGTTTTTAATCCCATTATATTTGTTTTGTCTTGAGCAAATTTTGAGACCCAGCTCCGCAAGAAAATTATACCGGATAATACGCTTAACCAAAAGCTAACTCGTGGGTGGATTCCTCCGGTGGGAAATCTGTAAGTTAATTCCATTTAAATTGCATTAGCAGCAACATTACAATACTAAAACTTTACTGATAAGCTAATTTGACGAGCTAACCATGTTCACAATGAATACCAACAATACTTAATACAGCCACTGTAGGCTGTCAAAGCAATGCTTGTCTACGTATATTTGAATCATTATTCAATAATAAATGTGTTGCACCAAACAATAAAAAAAAAAACCTCCCAAGCAAGACCATTATCCTGAATTCTCATTTAGTTAGCTAATCAAGCTGTGGAACAAGACCTAGAAGTGTTCAGGAAAAAAATCATCATCTTCTCTTAAAACTGGGTTTAGACAGGGCAAGTCAATTGATTAACTCAGTTGAATTCATCTGACTTGAACGTGTAAACCATGCCATTCAACTGACTTGATCAACTCACTCGAATTTAAAAAAGTTGAACCAGTCTCAACTTTTCAAGTCAATTGAATTCAACTGAGTATATCAATGGCTTGCCTTGTCTAAAGCCAGCTTAACTCTTAATCATTCTTGCATTTACTCAAAGGCGATCCAATGATTTTTGTTGGACACAGCTGGATTGAGCAGACGCACCAATCTACTCGAAGGTAAAATTTTGTCAGACGCAATTAGGTTAAACATCTATTAAGAGACGCACACTCCCATAAGTAGCTTAAGTTTAGCAACAACTAACAATGTCTAGCGTCTATACGAAAATGAATTTTGATTTGGGTTCAACTCTGGAATGTGACAACACCCAGTGGGAGCTGAATTTATAATAGGCTCAAAATCCTCGAAATGCCCTTTTATTTTATAACTTTTGCTCAACTTGCAAAAATGCAACATCAAACATTGAACAACCACAAGATCGCAACTATATTTAAAATTTGGAGAAGGCCTTCCTTAAACTACAACCAGTAATTAAGTTGTTTAAAACTAACGACGTCAGCCATACTTATTAATAAGTTTATGTTATAAAGAAACTGACTTTGAATGAAATTCCCTGAGATTCCCTGATTTTCCAGGTCCAAAAAGGAATTTCCTGATACTTTGACTATAGTTTAGTATTACTTCTGCGTGAAGTCAACGATTTACATAGTTGAAGATGCTAATTTCAAATAACAGACTAAAGTGGTAATTTTTATACGATAGATGAGGAGGAGCAAGTATACAATTGATGTACTCTAAAGGGAACTATCAATTCTATACTTTCTCCTCCTCATCTATCGTATACAAATTACCACTTTAGTCTGTTATTTGAAATTAGCATCTTCAACTATAATTTGCTGATATTTCCTGATTTTCCAGGTTTTTCCATGTAGTCGACACCCTGATAAAATATGGCAATATTATAAAAAAAAAATGCTGTGGGTCCACTGCCAAAGAAGTTTGGATGAGTTCAGAGAATTTCGGATAACTTCAGAGACGTTTTCTGAACTTCTCTAAATTCTACAAGATTATTGAGCGTTGAACTTGGAGCAGGTTCCATCACCAGCGAGTTGGAAAATTGGTGATCAGAGCAAATTGAAAACAGAACATATCCGGAGTGATTTGAGATTTGGGCGTAATTGCTTTTGTAAACAAACACGTCAATCACCGATTTTTCACGAATAAAAGCTCAATCTCGAAAACTAATAACACTATCAGGTAGAGGAATGATTCCTGTATCATTTGGTAGAGTTTTTTTTTACGAGATTGAGCTATTGCTCGAGAGAAATCGGTGATTTACGTGTTTGTTTACAAAAAACAATTACGCCCAAATCTCAAATCACATGATAGACGCAGACGCTTTGTTGACGCTGTAAATACGGGTATCCGAAGGAGTTTCTTGCATTTCTATTTCCAATCACAAACACCACACCGAGTACAGTTTAAATAAAGTGCTTTCATATTCTTCAAAGAGTGCTGTTGTGATGACATAAGCTTCAATCAATCAAACTACCACGGCAATTTCCTAATCCATGTTTTTCTCTGGCTCAGGCTTAGTCAAACAGAAGAAAAAAAAAATCCATTAACATGATCTCAAAGTACTAAATATTTCGCAAACTTCGCTGCACTGACTGTATCAATCACTTACCTAGATAGTTGTCAATAGTAATTATAATGAGAGTTTAGACACTTATTAACGCTCTACGACCGAAGCGCCGTGAACTGATGGAACACATCCAGTATATGAGGATCAATGTCGGACGTGAACAGAAGACTTTCTAGTGTGCTGCTGTACTTTTGCACCTGTTCGTGATGCTAAAATAGAAATGTTACATTAAATATAACTTTTATAATTATCTTCACTCTTTTATTTTGACTTTTATTCACCATCATGAAAACTTGCTGCAGCCTTCCAACCGTCCAACGATACCAATCCGTATCGTAGTCCCGTCCGTCGGTGTCGCACTTGACGAGATGTTCGGACAAAATCATGATAAATCGCTGGAAAATGATCAGAAACAGACGCTTCTGATCGACATATGCGGCTTCCAGCTTTTCCTCCATCCGTTCCACCTGTTCCTCGGTGGGCTTGTCTGAATCGTCACCGGCAGTCTTCTTACGGCGACGCTGAGGAGTGGCACCTGCTCCAGCAGTAGCACTGGCCGCAGTCGCTTCCTCTTCCGACTCGCTCGACGATGATTCCGCGGTGCGATCCAGACGGTCCTTGGCGTCACTCAACTCCTTGCCTGTGCGTTAGGATTTGTATGTTTAGTCAAACTTTCAGTTCCGAAACGTTGGAAACAACTTACTCAATTTAGTGACATGTTGGTTCATCTTTTTGATCGTCAGATGCAGAATTTCCCACAAGTGCATCTTGGTGAACTCGCCGACCATTTCCTTCGAGAAGACCCAGGTGGCCACGGCCGAACATTCGACGATCTGCGTCTTCAACAGCTTATCGATAATCACCACCATCATCTGCTGGTGGTTGACCCACAATTCGAACACATTGTGCAGAATGCAGATCTGTGCTTCCTCCGTTTCAGCCAAAGCCTGCGGAATGAAAATGGTAAGCAGAAGTTAACCGTTGGTTGATTTTGTGTTTGCCATCAGTTGTTTAATCAGATTTTCCCACGCAGTAGTCATAAAAAAAACCCCCACAATGCAATGATGTAGCTAGGAACATCGAATTCTGGGTCGCTTTATCTGTTGATGTAAATTTTAGATATCGCTATGAGCCAGAAAGTTATGACACGTCCCGGGTAGCACAGGTTACAGTCCATACTCTCCAAAATGTACATATGGGAAGGTGGGGCACTATGGGGCAATGTGGCCACTCGCTCAAAAATCAACTTATTGAACATATCTGTTGCAGGCTTAATGCTTGAAGCCAACTTCAACTATCCATTTTATTTAAGTCAAATAAAATACTTTTCTCTAGAGCAAATATTCGAAAAACGTTAGACTAGCTCAAAATGTCAAAACTGTCAAGATTTCTAAATCAGGTCTATTATTAGTATCCTATGATATTCCTTCAGCAGCTTTATAAATGGTCATTGGTTTCTTATACGACGCGATGTTTTTTCTAGATTTTAATAATAATTGAAGATTTCCTTAACAAAATATTAATATTAAGTCCATTCGGGGTAATATGAGCACCACTGATATTTCAACTTAAATTCTTCAATTTAACATTATTCCTTTCATAAATATGACTGTATCATATGAAATCAAGGTTTGAAACAGTGGCTTTAGTAAAAAATCAGTCATATACAAGACTGAAAAAATATAGCCTTAAATAGACCGGGAAATTTGATTTATGCTACAGAAAATAATTGTTTCTGTTAGATCTCTTTATGCTAAAACTGTTCATTGTTGACCCTTCACAGTCTCAAGAGAAGATAATATTCTTACCAGTTTTCGCAAGGTCGCTAATACCACCCCGACAGGGTGCTCATTTAACCCCAATGGTTTAATTTAGATTGCAACATGATTTTTTTTTATTAATTTTCTTGCATAAAATTCAAAAGTTTACTTTTAATATGCAATTTGTATTCATGATGTAACTAGGCCTTGAAACTATTCATTTGGTTGAACATCATTCGAATTTTCCACAGAATATGTGTATAATTAGTGATGATCTTAAGGTGGCCAAATTGCCCCACTTTTCCCTACTTATTATCATTGTTTCTTATCATTCAACATCATATGCTTTTGATTTTTGTTCCCTCCCGTTGATCACTTTTGACACCTTGCTGAGGGTGGAAGGGCTCAATGCAACCCCAATGATGGTTCGCTCTTTCAAACCAGCTTTGGGGCTGTTGAGGTTGACAATTAAAAAACTAAACGAATCAAGTAGATGACCCATCTTGCCCCACCTTACCCTATCACATATTCTGCTCTTTTATATATTTGGATAAACTAAGCTAGGTAACAATCTAAAAAACTTTATATCAAGTAATTTAGGGAAACGACACTCAAAGCACCACTTATGAAATGTATTTCCGATACAACCATCACAAATTCAATACTGTATTCTTATTGTTTATGAAATTTTCTGACTTTATACTCATTCAAAGTTTCATATTTAAAGAACTAAATTGTTTGATTTTCACTCATATTTTTCTACATTCATCGAGCATTATCAAAGTAACCCCAAATCAAAATACTGAATGCTTTAATTTTCGTGCAACATATTACTAACAAATTAACTCTTGGATCTTCAGTACTTGTTTTAAAAATATAAAATTTGAAAAACATTCATTGCTGTGAAAAATATTTAGAATATACTTTAAGAAACTATCAATGATACCCCGTTTTACGGTACTTTTATATTATTAATTAATCATTTTGTCAAGCTTCTGCATTCATGTTTCATCAGATGTCACTGATGTTGTTTGCGGTGACATCTATCGGAAACTACACACAATCTGTTTTCCGTTAGATTTTCACAGAGGAGACTGCAGTGCAAAACATGTCTGGTACCTCTATATACGCATTTAGATTAATATTCGAAGTCTCTCCTTTTTTACACATTCTGCACACAAAATAGCTCACCCTTCATAGAATTTCACGCCGATTTTTATGAATGGGGCGGGGCAGAAAGTATCTTTTGTGCAGAATATGTAAAAAAGGAGGGACTTCGAATGTTCATCTAAATACATATATAGAGGTACCAGACATGTTTTGTAGTGTCAGGTACTCTATTTTGAAATCTGTGAAAGGGAAATCACAAATCGAGTGTCATCAAAATACATAGCATGTTGAGAGATTGAGGTCGTGAGAGCAAATTTTCTCTCTCAAATTTGAATTTTTTTTTGGCTTTCTGGGAGACTGGTAGTGAAGCATGTAAAACTGTATAGGGAAATATCATTTTTATTTAATTGTGGCTTGTTTCAAAATAATTTCCGGGAAAAACTGAACTGAACTGAACTGAACTGAACTTTAGCAAAAACCGGAAGTGTTCATGACGAAGTGTTCGAAGAAAAAAAACTACAAGGGCGCTATGGGGTTGTACGCAATGGTGACGTAGGACTACGTGATCTTATATTATAAATGTTTTTTGTTAACTGCAGCAGGAGCTTGTGTTTTGTGTAGTAATAGGAATTTGAGCGGGGATCTCTCTGTTTATACTCTTTAGTATGACGCGCTTGGCATAGATGACCCACAGCGACTCACGAAGAGCTACTGATTCCGATCAATAGCGGTGCAGCTTCTTCCTCCTGCTGCTGCTGATGCCGACGACCGGACACAACCACACACGGTGATTGGAACTGAATCCGATCAGCGGTTGTGAGCACCCATGATAGCTAGCTGCTTGCGGGAAGCCTTTCGTTGTGTACTGGAGTACACCACCACTCACCACGCGGTGATTGAATAAACACCGTTTGGTGAGGCCGGATGGAATTCAACTTTGAAATCTGTACTAGGGAAATCGCTTTTCGCAGGCAATCGGTGATAATTTTAAGTATCGCAGCAGGGCTGCTAGTGCTGATGCGATATAATAGTAGTGACTTTAGTGACTAAAATTACGGAAATAGTGAGCAAATAGTGACTTGTAAATACTAACTTTGTAACCATTTATATGGTAACTTAGAAATTCAAATACGTTTTGATATTGAAATAAACTTTTTTATGTCTTGGAACTTAAACTCAAATTTTAGAAATTCCTTTAATTTAATTGAATCTCACAACGGAGTCTCCTGTGAAGAGCATTTGAAGTGATTTGAATTATTTACTTTTGCTTACGTTATACATGATGACTAGGAAATAGTAATTCCCATATTTTTATGATCTTGAATTTGATTCTGCGTTCGAAATCTTTAAATATTTAATATATCTAGGTCGATAACTTTAATAATTCGCTAGGAACTTTTCACAGAATTTCTTCAGAATGATCTCAAAAACTGTTTTAGAATAATTCCCCTTCTCTTAAACTTAGAGGCAAATCAGCTTTAACAAAAATAATATTGTATTCTTGAAATTCTTTGCAGAATACACAAAATTCTAGGAAATAGATTATTTTCATAGTTGGAAATGCTTAACATCAGAATTAAAGTGGAAATCTTATACGATAGATGAGGAGATGAAAGTAAAGAGTTGATAGTTCCGTTATAGTATGGCAGTGTGAAATTTGTATATAGAAAGTAGAAAGCGAACAAAGGACAATTTTGAAGAAGGTACGAATAAGGTAGAGACTCCCTGACGGCTCCTTACATAAATCCATCCTTAGAATTTCCATGCCAACTTCAGAAATTTCATAAATCTTGGACTTCTCCCATGCATTCAATTGGAATTCGTATTCTCCTTAGAATCACCATAGTATTTCCTCAGAATTTTCAAAACAAAAATCCATCACAAACTTTGAAACTCTTCTCAGAATTCTTTTGAGATTGAACATTCAAAATTTGATTCCATTGGAATTCTTATCGGAACTTATTTCGAACTGTTTAGAATATTCTCTTGGAATTATCGTCACCCCAGAGTTCTTTCAGAACTATCTGCAGAGACCATCTTTGGAGTTCACGGGATTTTCATGAAATTTTCATCAGAGCCCCTAAAGCAAAATTTCAGAACTAGTGGCCATAGAAGTGTTTTTGAAGAAACCCCAGCAATATAGGTATCAAAATTCATGAATTTACAGCAGGAGACTGTTTATCATAATTTAGTGGTCATCCGATGGATTCTCCCCGGGACTCTAGTCGCCATAGCAGTGTTTGGGAAGAAACCCTTGTAATATGGGTATCAAAATTCATGAATTTACAGCAAAAGACTGTTTATCATAATTTTGTGGTCATCCGATGGGTTGTCCCCAGAACGGCCATTCCGGAGCAGGTTCCTGTAGGGCCTCCAGTGCCCATAGAAGTTGTTTGGAAGGATGTTCCTACAATATGGGCATCAAAATTCATGAATTTTCAGCAGTAGACTATTCATCATATTTTCGTGGCTATCTGACAGATTGTCCCCGGAATGGGCTTGGATAGAATGCTCTTTATTTTTTGAAATTAAAAAAAACTTTTCTCATTATTTGTTTGTATCTGACTAAATGTCCATGGAATGGCCATTTTGGAACAAGTGAATAATCGAGTGGTGGTGAAAAATTTAGGATGAACACTCATGCAATTTTTATTTTCTTGAGTTTTACTGGGGTTCAATCTCTCTAGGGGTATAAACGTTGTGGATTAATGTTGTATGGAGTTTTTGCAGTCTCTGCTGTGCTAAAAATAAACTGACATTTCTCTGGACTTTTAATCCTCATAAAAAATTGTTAAAAAAATACAAGCACATAAAAAGCAAACGAAAAAAAGAATTGGCAATTATCGCAAATTTCTTGGCAGTGCTGATTGCACACAGGTCTTGAGCATGACTTCACATCTTCCTGGTCTTCCTACACTTGATGTCTTCACTTTTGCAGATATGACAGATGTCAACTTGTGGCTCCCGTCCGGACGGATCTCGTTCAACTGGAGTAGAACTACCTGCACACTTCGATAAAAATCATATAAATTTAAGTGCTCTGAGACTGACATAAATGAGCGTCAATTTTGACATAG